GAATGGGTAGGGCTTGAAGCCTGGCCCTCAGTGGGGAGCTCTGCCATGCTGGAGAGTGGAGTTCCTCTACAGTCTGTCCCTAGCTAATAGCCTTGCCTTTGCGCTGCTGTGAAGAGCTTGGGGTGTGAGCTCTTCACCCCATCCTCTCATGGTCCCATGAAGGGGGTCCTGTGGCTCTTTCTTCCTTCTCTCTCCCCTTCCTCACTGACAGACAGGACCCTGCAGGCCCAGGAGGTCCTGTTCCTCTCACAGAGAGCATCTTCCCTCGTGTGGCTTGGAGACTGTGACTCCCTTCATGGACTTTGGCCTGCACATCACATGCTGTTGGCACCCTTTTTTTTTTTTTTTTTGTGACAAGGTCTCTCTGCAGAGCCCTGGCTGTTTGGAACTCACTAACTTACTATATAGACCAGCTTGGCCTTGGATTCCCAGAGTGCCGGGATTAAAGGCATGTGCCACTACGTGCAGCCTGGCACCCCTACTTTACAGACAAGGAAATGGAGGCCCAGGGTAATTTTTGAGGAGCAGGAGAGGCCTCTGGGTTTCCTGATGTAGGTCTCCTGGAATCTTGAGTGCGTCCTTGGGGGGCGGGGCAGTTTCTCTGGCTCCATTTGTCTCTCAACTGGAGTTGGCACCATGCCTGGTCACCTGAATATGTGTCTATCCAGCTTCTGGACGGGGATTTCTGAAGTCACAGAGACTCCTGGGAACTCAGGGGCCTTTGTCGCCCTGAGACACCACTCAACTCAAGTGCCCAACTCAGTGCTTACATGGGGGTTCTCAAGGGCTTCTGCCACCAGAGGCCAAAGCACCCTCCAGTCAGCTTGCCAGACTCTTGTCTGTCGTCTGTCTGTCTGTCTGCCACTCTCTCTTTGCTTCCCTCTTCTCCCAACTCTATTTCTCCACTGAGCTGGGGGCGGAGGGGTGTGTGTGTGTCATAGTGTGAGTGATGTTCCTGCCCCCAGGAGGGGTGTGTGTGTCATAGGGTAAGTGATGTTTCTGCCCCCCAAATAAAGGGAGCAAATAGGCAAGAACAAGAGACGCAGTTTCAGAATGGTGATTAGATTTGGGGCTAGAGCGATGGCTTAGTGGTTAAGAGCACTTGCTGCTCTTGCAGAGGACCAGGGTTCATTGCCCAGCACCTACATTCTGCTTTACAACCATCAGTAACTCCAGTTCCAGGAGATCGGATGCCCTCTTCTGACGTCCGAAGGCACCAGGCACACATACAGTGCACACACGTACCTGTAGGCAAAACACTCGTAAGATAAAAAACAAAAACAAAACAAACAACCTTAAAAATAAGTAAATTTTAAAATTAGTGATTAGATTCAATGGGTATATGTAGAAACACCCCTCCCCCCACATTGGGAATTGACACCATGGACACCGTCAGCTGAAATGCTCCCTGGTATCTATAAATTAAAGGAAACAACCTCTCTTGCATAGAATGATTCTGCAGGTGTGTCTTGGCTCAGCAGGGGAGGGTGGCATTGCTGGAGTCCTAGCCTGGTGGTAGAGTGGCAGGAGGTGGGGCATGGGCTGTGGATAAATTGTGCTGTTGTACATGTGCTTTTAAGCAGGCTGGGGAATGTCGCTCAGTGGGGAAGCGTGTTTACTGACAGCATGCCACAGGCCCTGAGTTCCACCTCCAGCACAGGGGTGGGGTGGGGAAGTGCTCTTAAGGCCTGAAAACATTTGAGTCAGAACTAAATAATGTTGCAAGATTCTTTCTGCCTCAACACTGGTGCTTGGAAGCCCAGAAACCAGACTGTATCATCCTCTAGATCCAGGAAATAACCTGCTGGTCATGATAGTGCACACCTGTAATCCCAGCTCTTGGGAGGCAGAGGCAGGAGGATCACTGCAAATTGAAGGCCAGCTCAGTTTATATGGTGAGCTTTACTCCCTCAGGGCCATCTAGTGGGCTCTGTCTCAGGAAAGAAAGAAGTGGTCTGTAAGGGGCTGGTGGAGGGAGACCCTCAGAAGAGGTGGCATTCTGAGGACACCAGGGATACCTTTGAGTCCTCTGATTGTGACAAGTGTGAGATACTGTCTGGGATGGCATAGTCTGTATCTATCTGCTGGGTACTGCTATGCTTCACATCTACAGACTTTCCTACTGGATTACATAAGGCCAAGCTTTTCTTTGTTTGTTTTTGTTTTTCCAGATAGGGTTTCTCTGTGTAACAGAGTCCTGTCCTGGAACTTGCTTTGTAGACCAGGCTGGACTCCAACTCACAGAGATCCTCCTGCCTCTGCCTCCCGAGTGCTGGGATTAAAGGCGTGAGCCACCACTGCCAGGCAAGGCCAACCTTTTGAGAGAGGAGATATTGGAAACTGAGGCAGAGTTTAGGATTTTTTTTCTTCTTAGGAAAGGTTTGCTGAGAATTGAGCCATCTTTACACTTGGGTAGACTGGCGTGGTCCTGATCATGACTTTATGAACTCTGGTAGATCACCTTTGGTCTCTGAAATCCCATTGTTAGTGATTGGATCCTTTGACTTAAACTCAGCCCTTTCTGGCTTAGGTGTGAAGTATTGATAGGACAATGAGTGGTTATCTTATTGACTTCTAAACCACTGTGGGTTGGAAGTAGTTTGATTTTCTCCCATGACAAGGCCCCTAGAAGGCAGGCCCCCATTGTGGGCAGGGTGTAAATAGAAGGAGTTCAACAGAGGCCAGGATTTGGAATCAGAGTTGGCCGGGCTGTGTATCACTGTGCTTGCCCCACCCTGTGCGCTAAATTTAAACAGTCAGAAACTGTAGGCATCAGATCCTTTTGGTGGTCATTGTTTTGAACAAAAACTAAAGGTCCTTTCCCTCCCCCCCCAATGTCCCTCCCCCAGCCTTCCAGACCCTTCCGCTCAGATGGGAGGCTCCTACTCCTGGTCCAGCTGCTAGAGGAAGTTGTTGGATCCCAGGCCAGACTCCCCTTCCTCTTACCCTGCCCAGCTGGAGGCCTGGCTGTGTCTTGGCCTGGTCACCTCTGGCTCCTAGGAGTGTGGTGATACATTGTGTACCCTCATAAAATATGCCTGAAGATCAGAGAGACAAAGCCACCTCTTACCTCTAGGACTCCTCAACCCGAAAAGCCTTTAGTTCCTATGTCCTCACGCCTTATACCTTTCTTGCTGGGGTTAAAGGTGTGTGACTCCCAAGTGCTGGGATTAAAGGTGTGGCCACCACTGCCTGGCTCTATTTCTCTCTTAGACTGAGTCAGTCTCATGTAGTCCAGGGTGGCTTTGAACTCACAGAGATCCAGACAGATCTCTGCTTCCTCAGTGCTAGGATTACCACCACTGCCTGGCCTCTGTGTTTAATCTGGTGGCTTGTTCTGTTCTCTAATCTTCAGTCAAATTTTATTAGGTTACACAATAGATCACCACATAGGAGACCTTTACCCACAGACCAGGTAGCAAACCCTGGCCACCCTCCGCCCCCAGCCCCTTTCTAAGGTGGTTAAAAGGCATGTGGGCTCAGCTGAGCATGATGTTCTCTGTTGACGTTCCCATCTGCAGAAGTAGCCCCTTGGCTTTCTGGAGGCATCTGTAGCTGGCTAACATGCATCAGGCCTTTAGTTCAAGGCCTGTGGGGCCAAGGGAGCATACGACATGGGAACTAACATTGTGGTGTCGTGCTCGGTCAGGCAACCTCTGCAGGCTGGGTACCACCTACAGATGACTGCTTGCTTTCCCAGCCACTGCTCCCTTCATCTCTCACATGCCTCTCAGTTCATATATCCTGACACCGAGGGTCCTCCTCTGGTGCCCTCTTCTCCTCTTCCAGCCCTCGCCTGGAAAGTCTGTTCATGCCCAGGGTGCCAGAGTCCCTGAGTCCAGACTACTCCTACTCTTGCTTCTAAATTCCTTCTACCAACCCACCCTCTGAAGTCCAGATGGTAAGAAGTGATGCCCGCCTCAGTGCCCTCAGAAGTCTGTAGCTTCCCCCTGCAGACCACTTCCTCTCCTCTGGACAGCTCCCCTCCTGCAGGTGGAGTGTCACTCACTGCTCTGCCCCAGCCAGGGAGTTTCCCATCTTCCTGTCCGTCCTTCCTGTCACTGCACACAGCTAGTTTCCACTGGGCGCCATCTCCTGCACCCCTGTCCTGCCCTCACTGCCCATTGGGGAATAACCCAGCCTTAGCCTCCTCTCAAGTGGCTAGGTCCCCATGCCCCTCAACAGCTCCAAGGGAACTTTGCAAGTTTTGGTGGTCATTCGACTGCTCAAAGATTTTGGGGGGCACCTGTGTTCACTGGTGGTGGTTTCTACCACTCAGCTAATGTTTAGGTGGTCTGGTTCCACTAGGGGACCTCGTTCCTCAGCTCCTTCCTGCAGTCCCTGGACACTGAGGTTCAGTGCCCCCATGTTTTCAGAGTTCTCTTGCCTGCAAAGCTATCTACCTCCTGCCTTCCCAAAGCCAGCGGGGTCAGCGGAAGTACAGGTCCTCTCAATCCAGCTCCTGCCCACAGCCAGAAGAACATGGCTGTTTACATTTCTTACTCACCCTTTGGGTTCTTTCTGCGAGAACTTTCCTTATGGACTCTGTATGATTTATAGTCTGACTGATTAAGCTGAGCCTGCATAGTGCCTGACCTGATGAGGAGGGCCACCTCCTAGGCACAGGGTAGGTACCTCCACAATGGCGGTGGTGGTGGTGGTGGTGGTGGTGGTGGTGGCGGCGGCGGTGGTGGCTTGAAGCAAATGGTTATTGGGTCCTACCACCTTCCACAAGGCTGAGCTCTGCCTTTCCAGGCTCACATGTGGAAGGAAAGCCATGTGGGCATTGTCAGATGGTCTGGGCCCCGTGCTCAGTGTCCCTTCTGCTTACAGTTGGGGCCTCCACTGTTATGAATTTACATGGGGGACCCCAGGATATCCCAAATATGCAGGGAAACATGCTGGCATGTGGGGCAGATGCAGTGGCAGGCTGGCAGGCGACCTACACCATGTGGGCATGGTGGCGGGGTGGCTGATGGACATTAATACCCAGGCGCTGCATCCGTGCAGAAATGGTTTATTGTAATAGAGAGATGAAGAGAAGACAGGAAAGAGGGAGAGAAGAGAGAGGGGAGTCAAGGAGTGCACACCTCGTGGGAGGAAAAGCAGAAGAGAGGGAGGAAGGGGAGGGACCCCGAAATGAGGTTTTTATGTCAGGATGCAGGGCGGCGCCAAGGGGCAGGTCAGAATACTAACATTCTTCTGTTTTGATTACTATAAAAAGTTGAGTTATGGATAGCGAGTGGAGGAACAAGGATGCTGAATTCCCGACACTGCTTCAAGCTGACAAGGGGCAAAGTGGGGAGGGGAAGCCGGGGTCACGCATGGTGGGAGGCAGGAGTGAAGAAGCACAGTTGGCTGTCATTGTGGAGCTCTCAGGTATGGAGATCTCAGGCACGGGGATATCTGTTCCGTGAGGTCGCTAGGAGAAAAAATAGATTGTTATCATTGGCCTCATGAGCTGGGCTAGCCACGGGAAGAGTGACAACTGCCAGAAAGAATGGACGGAGAAGTGCCCTGGTGTACAGAAGAGGCAAGGGTGAACAAGTGAGACATGAGAGCGAATACGCCCTTTATTGGGGCATCTTGGAAAATCAGGCGTTGCTGGGCAGGTGCCTGCCTGAGCCTGGAGAGGTGGCACCGGCAGTGAAGTGAGGGATGACATGTTCTTCAGGAGTTCAGGAGCCATCACATCTGTCATTTCTCTGGAGGTGGTGTGCATCCATCCCAGTTGGTGTCCTTGGAGCTGGCGCCAGCTGGTGCAGGGGCTGGCATGTCTGGGGAGCCCCTTGGCCCAGGCAGGAGGAGGGAAACTGCAAAATCTGCTTGAAAATGGGCGAGGTCAAAACAGGCTCTGGAGATTGCTAGTTCTCATCAGACCAGATTCTTGATATAGTAGCAGAACTTTTCCCAGGAGCCTGTAGATATCTGTAAGACAGCTGGAATAGATTTTTATCATAGCAAAAGGGTTAAAAATCCATTTAAGGACTCTTAAGAACTCTTTGTAGTCAATGTTCTATCAGTTTATCAAAGCTGTATTTATCAGAATTAAAACTTTGTACCTCTGGAGTTATATCTGAAATCAGTCTATCCTGTACCATGAAGTCTGTGAATGAGGCATACCTGTCTGTAATTTGAGAGCATATATATATATATATATATATATATATATATATATATATATATATATAATCTTGGGATTGGGGCTGTTAAACTGATACCCTAGTCATCAAACATTGTCAGATCTGAAAAGGATAAATTTAAGAAGAAGTGAGACAGACAGCTTTCCAGCTACCTAGGCAGCAATCCCAAGTCTCTCTGTGGTCACTGAGGGACGGAAGTCCCAAAGGCAGCACTTGTTCAGCTGATAAGCCCAGAAGATCTGACAGATTTTTTTCCTGTGGAGTAGAAATTTGGGGAGGTCATCTTACCTGTCTTGGCAGAGAGGACAATCGACCCCCATTGTTCCTCTTATTCACAGTCTGGACAGGATGTCAGCTTCTCACTGCATGGCCGGCCTTGCCGTGAGCTTCTGGGTGGAAGTTCTTCTGTGGCTGTCCATCTTCTTGGAGGGGATACAGGATGCTGCCAGGAGCTGACATGTCTCTCTGTCAAAAAGCTTTTGTATTAAATGCCATATTCTCAGATCTCTACAGGTATTTGAGGACTGGGGGAACAAAATCTATTAAATGTATATATGTAACTTTGAGAGCATATATATATGTCACAGCCCAATGAAGTCAGCAAGGACAGGGAGGCCTACGTTCTTAGGCCTAAATAGATCCTGAGCAAGGAGAGACATTCTCTAAGCCATTGGCAGTGATATCTGAATCCACCACCATTTTTAATGCCCTGTAGTTGTAGTTCTGATTCCTGAGTACAGCCAGACTAGAATCCTGAATGACTTACACAGAAATAATTATTTCTTAAGCTGTCTCCTGAGAGGGCAAAGAAGAAACAGAGGAAACGAGAAAAGGGGCTTGAAAGTTAGGTATGGCCCAACTCTGAAAAAAAGAAAAAGACCCTCTTGGTGGACTCTATGCCAGGGCCTGCATCCCTAACCTAGCCCTCCAGCCTGTCCTGGGAACAGGGAGCACAGGACGACATATTCTCCATAGCTGCTTCAAGCTGAAATGGGGCACAGGTGGTCAGGACCCAGGCATGTGATCATCTGACCTAGCCATAGAGAAAGGGAATAATTATGTTTGGCTAGACTGATCTGCATTGGCCTTCATCAGGTCATGTCTCACAGGTTTAAGTCAGTAGCCAATGCCTGGATATGTCAGTCAGCCAGATGGAAGCCCGCTGAAACAGACATAGACGAGAGATAAGAGTTAAAATTTTGCCGGGTGGTGGTGGCTCATGCCTTTAATCCTAGCACTCAGGAGGCAGAGCCAGGTGGATCTCTGTGAGTTCAAGGCCAGCCTAGGCTACAGAGTGAGCTCCAGGAAAGGTGCACAGCTACACAGAGAAACCCTGTCTCAAAAAACAAAAAAAAAAAAAAAAAAAAAGTTAAAATTTTACAAACAAGAGTTACAATTTTATGAATTTATTTGGAACCTCTTGGCCCATAATCTTAATGATTGGGAAAGGGATACCAGGAGGGAGAGAAATACCATCCTTAGGAATAGACGTGTGAGGAAACTCATTTATCTGGAGCTCCTTTGACCTCTGTGAAGTGGATCCAATGGCTTCTTTTGACCTCTGAGGCTTATATGAGTTTTTATTTTATAAAAGGAGATAAAAGTTTAGATAACTTAGTATTATTAGTCAGTACTGAAATCCATATCGTAGAAGAGCAGACAATGAGTATCTGCAAGACAGCAGAAGTAGACTCACACCCTTGAGCTCTAGCGGAATCACAGATTTGTGTTACAAAATATGTGTAACTGGTATTTATATCCTGAATCATTTATCAAGAGACCTAAAATCTGCTCCCAAGGAAAGGTTCAAGATCTCTCAAATGTCTTCTTGCAATATCAAAAATAAAGTACATGGCATTTAAAAAAGATTTAAAATCTCTTAAGCATTATTATTGCTACATTATCCCAGCATAGGAGTGTGATGCCCCTGTCCACAACTGAGTCAGGAAGTGACCTTTTGCTGCCCTTAGTCAAGATGGTGGTGAGGTCATATGACCTGTTTTGACCTTATTTAAGATGGCGGTGGTGGCGCACGCCTTTAATCCCAGCACTTGGGAGGCAGAGGCAGGCGGATCTCTGTGAATTCGAGGCCAGCCTGGTCTCCAAAGCGAGTTCCAGGAGAGGTGCAAAGCTACACAGAGAAACCCTGTCTCGAAAAACCAAAAAAAAAAAAAAAAAAAAAAAGATGGTGCCTTGATCTCGTGATTGCCCCATCAAATATGGCACCTGACCACGTGTTCATGTCATTTTTTTCCCCCCAAAATAAACTGAGCAGATAAGGAACAGATAAATCGAAGCATTTAAAAGTCAATCAGAAGGAAATATAGATGGCCATATTAATCATACATTTCCATTCGCACATAGGAACTAGACTTTGTGAAAGAAAGGCAGAGAAAAGTTTTTTTGGGAAACTTTTACAGTTAATGCATTGGAGCTTGGAGGCTGTGCTGTGAAGGGGATCAGGAAACAGAGTAGCAGTGCAGCCGGGCGGGAAAGAGGGACCCTCTGGGCTGCAGCATGGTTAGAGCAGCTGCAGCAGGGGAACCACACCAAGCCATGGGTCCCAGCAGTGGTGGGGGTGGGGGACCGAGGCTCATTTCCCACGGTGAGGTATAAGGCCCAGCAGACTGACCTCCAGCGTCTCAGAGGGTCAGCGAGGGCCAACGAAAGGCACAAGACAGCCAATGGACCGTTGTAACCAAGGCTGTGGGCCGTAGAATCGAGTGGCAACAGGCCGTCTCCATATGCTGTCACATAGGGACAGGGGCCCAAGGGCTTAAAGCCCAAAGAAAGACATGTGGCGCCGGCACCACAATTGAGAGACGAGCGAATCCTCAGTTGTGGGAAAATGGCCAAAAGGGAGGCTTACCGAAGGGGGAGGGGGGCTTACCGATTATGCCGGTGTTGGATGAAGTGAGTGTTGAAGGTTCCAGGGCTCCTAGTGTGTCTCAGACTGCCGGTGGGCAGGGGAAATGCGCCAGGAGGGCCTCTGCTGAGTCACTAGCACCAATGCGTCACTAGCACCAATGCTATAATATATTGCACAGGGACCCTGAGGGTATCGCGCATACAGGGAAACATGCTAGCATGCCCTGCAGATGCACAACCCAGGCGCTGCATCCATGAGGAAATGGTTTATTATAATAGAGAGATGGAGAGAAGATAGAAAAGAGGGAGAGAAGAGAGAGGAGTCGAGGGTGCACACCTCGTGGGAGGAAAAGAAGAAGAGAGGAAGGAGGCGGGCCTTTCTCCAAAATGAGGCTTTACTCAGGACGCAGGGTGGCGCCAAGGGGCAGGTCAGCATACGAACTGGTTTTCAAGGGGCGGGTGAGAATATTAACATCTATCCCAGCTTACCTCTCTGCTGGGAGGTGAGATTTTCCCTTCTCCGGGCAGGGCCGGGCGTATAAAGCAATGTGAATGAAAGCAAAACAGAAGCAGACAAGTAAGAATTAACAGATGTCAGTTGTTAATGGCTTTAAAACATCACCGCTCCCCAACCCCAAACCCCAGGAGGGACACCAAATGGTTACTTGACCCCAGAGAAGAGGTCATTTTGATCGGGAAGAGTGACAGTCCCATGGGTTGTGAAGGGAGTGGACGAGGAAAATGCTTCCCAGGGCCACTGACTTCTGCTGACTTTGGTTTTTAGGGGTTTTCTAGGGGTGAGAACAGCCCTGCTTCACCAGGGCTTGGGAGTTAACTCTTAGTAAGCAGGGTTATGGGGTCCTCAACCTTGTCTCCCTTCCTTATCCCTTTTCCTGGACCCCTGTCTGCCACATCATGTTCGACAGCAGTCTTTTTGGGGAGGCACCCTGACCATGAGTCAATAAGAATCGAACCAGCCAGGGACAGGTATACTCCTGTAACCCTAATATTTGGGAGGCTAAAGCAGGAGAATCATTAGTTGGAGGCTAGCCTAAGCTACATGGGGAGTTTCAGGCCAGCCTAAGCTACATGGGGAGTTTCAGGCAAGCACAGGCTTCAGAGACCCTGTTTGAAAAACAAACAAACTAAGAAAAAAATAAAATAAATAAAAAGACAGTGGCCCTTCTGCATTTAGTCTCTGCATGAAACTCTCTGCATGATTTTTCCCTTGTAACTTGCACACATAAACACACACACACACACACACACACACACACACACAAATGTCTATATTTATATTTGCCTAGGGATTTTTTCTTTATTTACAAAACACTAACCAAATCCCCATGCAAATATATATACATATATATGTATATGTATGTATATATATATACATGTATATATATCTCCATCCAGCACACTATTTCGTACATGCCATTTCTCTCTTAAATATACTTCAGGTTTAGTTACTTTTCCTGATTGAAGTCCAAAATGAGTTTCATCTGTATGAACACAGGATGGTAAGAAAACCATTTATTACTTTAAAACATTTTCCTCTCCTTAAGGAAAGGAATAGAGAGGCAGAGTTGGGGTAGATTGAGCCAGCCTCCCCACCACAGCCACAGAGTAGCTCAGAGTTCCATGGCCCACACCAGGACCCTTCGGTGCACAGTAGCTGCTCTGGCTTCTCACGGCTTGTTTCTGTATTCCCGCTGGGATGGAAGCTCTAGAGGCCCCTCTCCGCCTGACTTTCTACCTGTCCACGATTCTCGGTAAACATCTGTCAGGTGAGTTCACCTTCAGAAAGGCCAGCCCCTTGGCTAGGGTGACCAGGCCAGGAGGGAGGGGTTCCCAGGACACAGGACCTGGAGTGTCCAAACCTGGAGAGTGCGGAGTATCAGAGGGTCTGACCACCCTGCCCCAGGCACCAGTGTCTGTCTTGGGAGGGTGGAATGTTCAAGGTCAAGGCTATTTTAAGTGACACATGCCTTTAATCCCAGTTTAAGATCAGCTTGGTCTACATAGCAAGTTCCAGACCAGCCAGGCCTACACAAGGAGACTGTCTCATAAAAGGTATTGGTGTTAGGGTAATAGTTTCCTGCCCGGATCCTGTCTGTTTAACTTGAGCTTTGTGTGGTCCTTGCTAGGTGGGTGGCTAGCAGTTCTCAGCCCTATTTTGCAGATGGTAATAGCTGGGCATGCCCAAGGCCAACTCCTGATTGTCAAGCCAGAGGCACCTCCCTCCCCTCACACACTCCAATTAAATGGTGTCTGCTCAGGATTCTGAGCTATCATCCCGTAGACTACCTCATCCAGGGTCTGGGCTAAATCAGGCCTGTAGTCCTGTGTGATGGGGCCTGTGGCCCTGTGTGATGGGGCCTATATAGTGGGTGTTTGTTCTCTCTGCTCATCCGATTGGGAATGGAACCCAAGGCTTCACCCATGCTGGGCAAGTGTTTCTATCACACACCCAGCTCTGTTTATTTTTATTTATTAAAAGAAGAAAAAAAAAGCCAGGTGGTGGTGGCACACTCCTTTAATCTCAGCACTCGGGAGACAGAGGCAGTTCTACAGAGTGAGTTCCAGGACAGCCAGGGCTACACAGAGAAACCCTGTCTAAAAAAATTTTTTAAAAATGTTTAATTTTCGCCGGGCGGTGGTGGCGCACGCCTTTAATCCCAGCACTCGGGAGGCAGAGCCAGGCGGATCTCTGTGAGTTCAAGGCCAGCCTGGGCTACCAAGTGAGTTCCAGGAGAGGTGCAAAGCTACACAGAGAAACCCTGTCTCGAAAAACCAAAAAAAAAAAAAAAAAAAAAAAAAAAAAATGTTTAATTTTCTGTATGTGGGCATTTTACCTGCATGTGTGTCTGCACAGCACGGGTGCACCCGGTGCCTACAGAGGCCAGAAGAGGGCGTCAGCTCCTCTGGAGCAGACTTGACAGATGCTGTGGGCTGCCATGGGGTGCCGGGAGTTGAACTTAGGTCTTCTAAAGCAGCCAGTGCTCTTAACCACTGAGCCAGTTCTCCAGACTTGATTCATTTTCGAGGCAGGGTTTTTGTTGTATGGTCCAGGCTTGCCTCCAGCTCAAAATCCTCCGCACCCTCCCAAGTGCTGGATTACTACACCTGTCATCACTGTCTGACCCTGTCGGTTAGTCCTGAAGGAGAATTACTTATCTACGTGACAGCGGTAAGAAGGCCTTGACGTTCAAATCTGGCAGCTTCTCTTAAATGGGATGCCTGGCCAGTCCGATGGCCAATGGGGGCTATAGTGGCTGTGTGTGTGTGTGTGTGTGTGTGTGTGTGTGTGTGTGTGTGAGATGCTTTATAGTTCCGATCTTCCCTTTCCGGTTCATCTCTGTTTCTGAGCCAAGTGGGCTGAGACTGGTGGCCCCTATCAGGATGTAGGCTCAGGAGCTGTGAACATGGGCATAGGGAATTATAATTCAAGACCAGATGAGTGGCCCCAGCGAGATGTCTAGACAGGGCTTCAGGGGCTTTGAGAAATACTACTGTGAGTTGAAGGGCACCCCTTGGCTCTGTACATGTTTAATGAGCTCCTGCCTTGTGCCAGGCGCTGGCTGGTTCCATAGGCTGCAGAGATCCGTAAATGGGACACAGTCTCCTGAGACAGGCTGTGCTTCAGGGGAGAGGGCTTCTGAACGACATCGGAACAGCTTCATATGAAAGTGTGAGACATTCTGGTTGGACAAAACCGGAAATACCCCAAACACAGCTTTCCAGGGAGACCCAGCTTTGGGATAAGGTTCCAATTTCCTGTTCCTCTCCAAGCTTGAATCAGGCTGGAATTTGGGGCTTGCCAAAGAATGCTAAATCCCGCCCCTGGAGACTCAACCCAGCAGCGCTGACTTTGGGGATGATGTTGTCTTGTGTTTTTAATTTCTAAAGATTTTCAGTTGTTTTCTTTTAGTAGATTTTACTTTTTTTTTTTTTTTTTTTTTTTTTTTGGTTTTTCGAGACAGGGTTTCTCTGTATAGCTTAAATTTTACTTTTTATAGCAGTTTTAGGTCCCCAAGAAAAATGAGCAAAGAAAATGAAGAGAGTTCTTTGCTGCCCCTCCCCATGCATAGCCTCACCCACCCTCAGCATCCCCAACATAGTCTGGTTTCTGGTATATAAAAATAGCATAATCCATGACTTATTTATTTAAAATCAAAGCAAACATTGCAGGCTGGGCTGGGGTGTAGGCACTGGTAGCGCTCTTGTCTAACAGGCACAGAGCCCTGCACTTAACCCTCAGAACTGGAAAAATAAACATTGTGAACTAGAAACCAAGTCTGTCTCGAGTTTAATTCTGTCCCGAGGTCTGTCCAGCCAGGAGATCATGGCATATGTCCTGAAATCCAGTGTGCATTTTGCCTTGCTGTGTATGGACTCCATGCATCCTTAGGAGTGACCCTAATATTAGTGACCTGGATATTAGTCACTCTTATCCCCTGCCACCACACACAGGAGCACACAGGCATCCTTACACATCTACACACGTTGTGAGAGTTTACCTGAGGGATAGCATGAGGATTCATGAACTTCTAATTGACTTGTTTCTTCTCTCTCCTTGATGTTTTTGAGACAGGGTCTCACTGTGTAGCCCAGACCTCGAACTAATAATTAATAATGATCCTCCTACCCCAGCCTTGTGAGGGTTGGGGTCACATGCCTGAACCAAGTGTCCACCTCTTCAAGATACACATTTTATGGATTTTACTTGACCTTCTTCTGTGGTTTTTAATGTTTTGCCTATTTGCTTTCTGTTGAGGCTGAGGTCCTGTGGGTTCTGGGTGAGAGTTCTCTGGCTTCACTCTCGAGCGCGGCTTATCCGGGCCTGGAGAGGACTTGGGTGGTGGGGCCTGGAAGTGGAACGCATCCATGGGAGGGGCCTTGGAGAGTGCTTTTCTTCATGCAGCCTCAAGTTCACAGACACATAAAACCGTAAGATACCTATGACTCTTAAAGTTTCTATTGGATAATCATTTTAACTTCATGCAAATTGCACCTTTTACTCAGGAAGACATTTTGGAGATCTCTTCCGGTCTCCAACTCTCTTCCAGAGAGAACATGAAACTCACTCCCGCTGCCTGTGTCAGTGGCCTCTTCCTGAGGTTGATGAGGGGTCCTGAGCGTCCTAGTGTTTCAGGGATCTTCTTTCTGGGTCTCATTAGTACCAGTGTCCCACTGTCTGGAGGAAGCACATTGCTAGGAGAGTGGTCATGTGGGGAAGTCATCGGGAATGGCCCTGATCTTAATCAGTGTGTCTAGAGTAGCGGCTCTTGCAACTTGATCTTGAGCCCACCCCCACCCATTAATTTTTTTTAATTTTATTTTGTGTGTGCACATACATGTGTGCATGCCATGGCATACGTGTGGAGATCAGAGAACAACTTACAGGAGTTGACTCTTTCCTTCTACCATGTAGGTTCCAAGGATCGTGTGGGTTCTGGGGCTCAAACTCAGGTTGTCAGGCCTGGTTGGCACCAAGTGCTTTTACCCACTGAGCCATCTTCCTGGCCTCTAGCTTGTCCCTTCTGTGCTCTTCTTGAGACCTCCGTGGCAGGGGAGCTCCAGCTGGCTTAAGACTTTGGATTAGAGATGTTCCTGGTGCTGGCGACATCTACAATGCCATTCCTGGGCCCACTTGGGCATCAGGTGGTCTAGTCCAGGTGGACCCCTTCCTGTTCAAGACCCAGTGTGAGGTGGAGTGCATCCAGCTGCGGAGCCACCCATTCACCTGCCAGCAGGGACATCCTTTAGGCTTGAAAAAGCACCTGTAGGGTGCCTGGACCTGGCCGTGGGTAAGATGATGAGGTGAAGATTCACGGGGTGGGGGTGGGGGGTGGGGGGCTGGTGATTGTCCCGCCTTCTGCTGAGGGTTAGGAAGCTCTGGGAGGCCGAGTTGTGAGGGTTAAGGGCAGGGCAGGGAGACCTTTCTGGAGCAGGCAGGACTGGGGCAGGTTGGAAGTAGAGAGATGCAGACCCAGGTCTCTAGGTTCCAAGGAGACCCGTGGTGGGACTGTGTAGAGGGACTGGTGCTTTCTTTGGACACTCTAGCTGCCTGTGGTTGAAGTCAGACAAAAGGCCTCGACCCTGACTCTGTCTGTGGTCAGCTGTACCTCCTTAGGCCAGTCACATACCCACTCCAG